CACACTTATCCACATCTCACAACCACACACCTACACCCATAACCACACACCTACACCCATAACCACACACCTACACCCATAACCACACCCACACCCACACCCACACCCACACCCATACCCACATCCACACCCACACCCTCAACTTTTTCATTTCATCTTCATTTTCCTCGCAGACACTCAATAAAATCCTACTTCGTGACACGAAAATCGGAAGCAAAGGCGTTCGACATTTGTCTAATGCATTGCGAGAGAATACAGTGATCTTTCATCTATGTGCATCGCTTTGATTTTTATCTGCATTTCGTTACACAGACGCTAACTACTCCTCAGCTTGATTTCAATGAGATGGGAGTAGAGGGTGCTCGACATTTCGCGGATGTTTTGCGACAGAACACAGTGAGCTTCCATCTAGTAATGTGCATCTCTCTTTGATTTCTATCTACAATTCGTTATACAGGGACTAACCAATATTGAGCTTGATTTCAATGAAATTGGAGATGAGGGAATTGAATCTATCGCTGATGCTCTCGAAAATAATATGGTAAATCTATCTATCTATTCATCTATATATATACGTCATAATCATATTCTTATTTACTGATTCAATCAGACACTGACTACACTTAGTATCGGGGACAATAAATTACAAAATAAAGGGATCAAACATATATTCAATGCTTTGAAAAATAATATGGTGAGTTTCTCCTTCTCTTTTAATTCGTGTTATTTTCCTTTGTGCTTCTTCACACAGACACTTATTTCGTTAAGTCTCAAGCAATGCTGCGGAATCCAGCATCGCCCAGCCTGTAGCTGATGCTCTAAGCAATAATAAAGTAATTTTCATCTTCTCCATTTCTCTCTGATTTCGATCAAAGTTCTTGAAAAAGACGCTTACCACACTCTCGCTTGGCTACAATAAACTCGGAGACACAGAAATCCAGTATATAGCTGATGCTTTGAAAAAAAAACACGGTAATTTTCCTTTGACAGTTGTCTTTCTTGTTACTTTATGTATTTCTGCTCATAGACACTTACTAAACTCGATCTCCCGGAGAATGGAATTCACGACGAAGGAGCCGGATATTTAGCTGATGCTTTACGAAAGAACACGGTGAATTTCTTTCTTTATTCATTATTTTCAACTTCTTCTTCATTTTGATACATAGACACTCAGAAACCTTGACCTTCAAAGCAATGGAATCGAAAGCAAAGGAGTCCAATCTCTAATTGATGCTTTGAAAAATAATAAGGTAAATCATATTGTCTAATCATCTCTCACATCCTGATTTTACTTCTCACATAGACGCTCACCGAACTTAACATTAAAGGAAATTTAGTCGAAGACGAGACTCAAGAAATTATCAATGAAACTTTAAAGAAAAATATCGAATTTTAAGTCAACAGTTAATAATAATTGTTAACAAGATTAACACTAACTGATAATGAAAAAAATTAGCTTCGATATATCTTTTAAAAGTGCTTTCTAAAATAAACTATTTACAGTGTAGTACAATTTTCAATCAACTAGTCTATACGACAAAATGATACGAAGAACAACTGAAGCGTTAATGAACTGAAGTCGAAAAGATAATTTTACACTTTAACGAAAAACAGCATTTCGTAGAAAACTAAAAATTTTTCCTTCTAGTGAGGTCACATATATTTCTATAAACTAGAGATAGACTATGGAAAATTAGCTAAAAATTAATCAGTGAAATGATTTTCCTAAATGTTATTTTCATGATTGTATAGGAATATATGATCATTAAAATCCAATTGAACATTGATGGTAACAGCTCTTTTCGATATATGAACAGTGCTAATAAATGACGTGCACGATAGAAGTACTCATTCTTATGTATGTTTTTCATGATATGAAAAAAAAACATTTTTATTGATATACTTCCATCAAACAAAATGTAATGAAATCCGTAGTGCATGATTAATGTGATTATTACCCAACTGCAAATTTTCATGCATACTAGCATACAAGTGTAATTGAGCAAGTATTTCGTACGAATGATTGTTGAAAATACTAAAATGATATATTCAAAAAATTCATCAAAATTATAAACCTTGTTCAGAATTGAAGATGGTTCGTTTCAACTTGATCATCACTAAGTACATGACGTAGTTTTGGAAAAAAACTAATTGTATACATTCAAGTCAACCATATTACGAAAATGGGATGTGAGGTGTGGCTATGGCTATTGGTGTGAATTCCCACTTCATTAACACCTACACCCAGTCACACCCATACCCACATTATTCGACTTTTGATGATTATTGTATCTTTCCTTGGGAGTGTGAGTAAAAGTATTAGCTATCACGACTGGGTTCTTATTCCAGTTAGAGCAACCGACTGATGACGGATGTGACTGTGAATGTTGGGAAATGTAGGTGTAAGTATGAGCGTGAGTTGATGTTGATGAAGCAGAAAACTACACTCACACCCACATCCTAGTTCTGTCAAATAATAGGTTAAAACTTGAATTTAAACTTCGATGAAATCTGGCANGAGCTACATTCCTTCATAGCACAGCAGGTTTAAGACATGCTAATCCTACGAAAAACTTCTTGCTTGAAATTTGTGCTTCTTTGACCAATCGATTGTATCGCATGTCACAAAATAATGGAGATTATTTAAGATAATAAAAATATATACGTTTTGTAGAGAATTTGACGAGGAATCTTTTGGTAAAAAAGTTTTTTCTTAAACACTGAAAAATGAATGAGTTATATGAAAAATACTGAGAGCGCCATTCATTTTGTGACACCCGTTATTTCGTCCATGAGCCATTCTCTTCTTTTTCAATTAGTATTCTTGTCTAATTTAAAATGTTTTTCTGCGTTTACTTTCAGATGTCCCACGAAAAAGGAATATTTTTTATCAATACTAGTTGTATCACCAGATGTATCAGATATAGTTCCACGGAGATCACGTTGTTACGATTCTAATGCTTTATCATCTTTAAATATAGTAATGTCATATTTGACTTTCCTCTGTTTCACTAGTTTCTTTCGACTTTTCAAATGTAATTTGATTTTAACACGCATTAAGTGATAATCAGTTGCTATGGCTCCAGCTGCACTTCTAAGCATTCTTACATCTTCAATACTCGATCTAAATTTTTTGTTAACCAGTGTATAGTCGAACATGTGCCAAATTTTTGTCCCAGGATGCATCCAGAAAGTCTGATGTAGGAACTTACACTTAAAAAACGTGTTCGAAACAATAAAATCGTTAATCGCAAAGTAATCAGTTAGCCTTGTTCCATTCTGATTATCCTTATCAACTATAAACGGTACAATGCAGTTACATAAATTGTGATATTGTTGTTTTTATCATATTCTGGCATCGAAGTCTCCCATGATAATTACCATATCTTCAGTAGCAATTATATTTACAGTATCTTGTAAGTCTACATAGAATTTGTCACTTTCATCAGGCATCTGTGTATTTGTTGAATTCACTGGTGAGTAAACAGCTGTAACAGTTATATTAATTTGAGAGCACTTGGGTCTAATTTTCAAAATTCTTTCGGAAACTGCCTTCCATACTTACCCTGAGTCCTTCCAAACCCTTGTGGCTGTCTGATCAAAACAAATTGTCACTCCATGTGCGTTTCTGGTCTTGTTGTCAGATGATAAACCAGAGTAAATCATTGTATAATCATTAATTAATTTAACACCAGAGTCGTATATACATGTTTCACTCAAAGCAGCTATTTGTACAAGAAATTTTTTCAATTGTTTAATGATATGTTCTTTCTTGGGTTGTTTAACACATGACCGAACATTCCATCCGCCACATAGCACGCGAAATTGTGTATTGACATATTTGTTCTTCTTTTTTTCGTTAGCAGAGATAGTTTAGTGTCCAAACCGAGAGAGTGCTAGCCTCAAGACCAGACGATTGGCTAACTGTAGCCCAGGGTCACCTTCTCACTGTTTTAAAAACAGTGAGTCCCTGTGTGAATTCGAAAACTCACCCAGCAGGATGTTTCCATTCAAGACCATGTAGTTGAACTGCACAAGTATTCTGGAATGAGTCTATTAGAGACTTTGTGCTAGGATAAAATCAGGTATTCAACAATCTAGCTAATCGAATTATTAAGAATTATGACGACTTTCTGCTGTCGAATTTTGAAAATTTCTAAAAACTTACGAAACATAGGCATGGCAAAAAGCAGCAATGCATCCAGGAGGGGATTGAGAGGATAGATTCTCTGGAAAGAATTAAATACTTGGAGGGGATACGGAATGACTAATTTCCACAAGCCAAAAAAGTGTTTTTTTCCATTATGATTCTCCCCCTCCCGATAAAAAAATTCTCGATATTGTACCTGACGAGATGTTCTTTGAGGAGAGAGGTATCGAATTAAGTGTGACATGAAAATAATGAACATAGAGAACTTATGCTTACTTTTCATGGCTTACTGAATTATAGCTAATAAACAGAAATTTGCTACGTTCATTATTTTCACATCAGAACTAGTTTGATATCTCTCTTCTGAAAAAGCTTTTGTCATGCCTACGTAGCTTGACCTTTTAGAAATTGTCAAAATTAGACAGCAAAAAATCATAGTAATATTTAGCAATTTGTACAGATAAATTCCATGTTTAACAAGCTTTAATTTAGTATATAATTCATTGTTTACGCTAGTTGAAATTAAAGCGCTACTCCTCTGGAAAAATATTATTACGTATCCTTAGAATCTAATCAGTATCGTTCCTGATTGTAAAGCTTCTAGGATTCAATGATACATATTTTTTTGGTAAACTGTATATAATATTTTCTGTTAGCATGGTCAAACACTGGCAGTGGAAATTATGGTCGATATTCTCACACAGCATCCGTGTTAACAAATGGGCAAGTATTAGTTGTTGGTGGGTTGAATGGTGTTGCTTTGAATAATGCTGAGTTATATGACCCATTAACGGGAGTGTGGACAGCTACTGGGAGTATGAATTATACTCGATATAGACATACAGCATCTATGTTAAGCAATGGAAATATTTTAGTTACAGGTGGATTGAATAGTGTTGTTTTAAATAATGCTGAGTTGTATAATCCATCAACAGGAATGTGGACAATCACTGGCAGTATGAATTATATTCGATGTTATCACGCAGCATCCGTGTTAACAAATGGAAAAGTGTTAGTTACAGGTGGATCTAGTGGTATTCCTTTAAATAATGCTGAGTTATATGACCCATTAACAGGAGTGTGGACAACTACTGGCAGTATGAATTATACTCGGTATAGACATACAGCATCTATGTTAAGCAATGGAACTATGTTAGTTACAGGTGGATATAATGGTGTTGCCTTAAATAGTGCTGAGTTGTATAATCCATCAACAGGAATGTGGACAATTACTGGTAGTATGCACTATACTCGACAACATCACACAGCATCTGCGTTAACCAATGGAAAAGTGTTAGTTACAGGTGGATATAATGGTGTTGTTTTAAATAGTGCTGAGTTATACGACCCATCAACAGGAGTGTGGGCAATCACTGGCAGTATGAATTTTACTCGATATTTTCACACAGCATCAGTGTTCACAAATGGACAAGTGTTAGTTACTGGTGGCCTTGAGACTGTTTTTTTAGATAGTGCCGAGTTGTATGACCCATCAACAGGAATGTGGACAATCATTGCTAGTATGAATTCTACTAGAGCTTTCCACACAGCTTCCATATTAACAAATGGACAAGTGTTAGTTACTCATGGATTAGATAATCTTGGTGTTTTAAATAGTTCGGAGTTATACCAACCATAATAAACAAATAAACAATAAACAGTTTTTTTCTTTTTTCGATGAATAATCTTGAGTATAAGGGCTATTTTAACATTAAAATAAATACTTCAGAAAAAGAGCTCAAAAACAAAATTTTGGCAACTTCTTAGAAAGGATCGAACTTCGAACAAGTAAGAGTAAAGGTGAGGGTGAGTATGAACCAATACCTACCGCTATCTTGACTTCATCCGAGGTACGAGAATCACCAGTTGGTCAAAGATATCTGCACATAGAAATCAATAAAAATTAAATTAAAGCGAACGATCTCTTACTTTGTATATACCGTCGAAATGTAATATTCTAGAATACGGGTAAATGCAACTTTGATCGAAAGTAAAAATGTCAAATGTGAAAATGTCGAAAGTAAAATATAGAAAGTAAAAATGTCGAAAAAAGTCATAAAAGTAAAATTTTGACAGATGTAAGATGAAGATGTCATTATTGCACAATCAATGGCGACTAATGTTCATTTAAATCTATCATTGATCTGTCAGACATTGGTCACTTAGTACAATGTTGTAGAGAAGAATAAGAATAATGCTGTTCATTTTTTCATTATTCGTGTGATAAAGATAAAGATGGAAGCTTCTAGTGAATCTGCCCGCAGCATTAGTTGTGATTTAACTTTCATTACTTCCAATAAAGGACAGCCTCTTTTAGTAATGAATCAATACATATTCAAATGTAACAAAAAAAATGCCCAATTAAAAATACTGGGTATGTAAAGTTAAAGACTATGGTGTATATGTCCATACTGATATAAATCAAAATTATTTGTCTGGTGGTAAAACTGACCATGGTCATCCAGCAAATCCTGAATTGATTCAAGTCCAAAAAACACGTGAACAAATTAAACAATGTGCACGAAATGAGGTTACACCTATCGGAAAAAAATATGATGAAGAAATAACAAAAAATGTTTTGAATTCAGTGGCAGGAGGGTGTGGATGTGGGTGTGGGTAGGTGTTGCTTAAGATAATCAACACTCATACCCACACCCACACTCACATTCACACCCTTCATGGACATATCTATATAGACGTCTTCTTGGCAAAACTTTTAAGTTAAAAAAAGCAGTTTTTCTCATTGTTTTTTTTCTAAAAATCAACAATGTTTACAACAGAGTTCATATCACTCAGAGAGAATAAATACATTGATGGAATTGAAAGAAAAATTACCAACGATTCGAAAAGTTTTTGTCAATGACATCAGTAAGTAATAAGACCCGTATCTTATTATTTAAAAATGAATTTTTTTCTAAAATTTGAATTGATCATTTTGAAACTTATTATTAGGATAATAAATTTTAATATTAATTAATAATTTTTTATTTATTAGACTTAGATTCAGTATCAGTCAAACATGATCGTCATAATATAATTTGTTTAGCTGATTTAATACATGAAATTTTGTTTTAATTTGTCGATTTCTTTACCATGTTATTTATGATTATTAGACAAATATGAAACTTGATGGGATAACACACGAAGTGAGTACATTTAATTTATAGGATATGAGTATTGGTGGAAGTGAACATTCACAGCCACAGCCATACCCAACACCTGCTTCTCGAGCAGACAAGAATTTGGAACAACGCGCTTTTATTCTGGAATTTAAAAATCATGTGTTTTAAAGCTCATTTTTTGAACTTTTCATCATTTTCACGTTCTGAAAATGAAAATTAAGCGAAAAAAAAGAACGTTTCTTGCGTTTTTTCAAATTGTTGTCTGCTTGGGTTCGCCAACTACAGTTTAGCTTCATTCCTCTTGTTGCTTTCTACGGTGGACAAAATTAATAGTAACTTTTTATTTTCATCTAAAACATAGAGTTTATCGCTAGAAGAAGTTTTCTCGGATATATATTAATCGCAAAAAATATAGATATTTATAATACAAATAAAATCTAATATGAAGATACAAACTGTTGATATATCTTTTGAATCTTTTTAATACATGATTGAACAATATTTAATGATAAACTGTATAAAGCTTGATCAACAGCATTCTCTAGTTCATTTTGTGATTTCGGCTTTTTCTTCTTAACTTGTTGCTTGATAATGTTCCAGATTAGTTCGATTGCATTAAAATCGGGACTATAACCTGGTCATTCACATAATTCAATATTATATTGGTCACACTATTGCTGGAATTGAGCACTTCTGTGCCATCTAATTCCATCAGAAATGTATAAGAATCCATTTAATTCTCGTAAATTTCCAGACAAAATTTCATTAACTGTTTCACAATATGTATCACTATTTAACCAGCCATTAAATCGACGAAAGACATAACCATTCCACCAAATGAAACCAATTAAATTAACATGTGCCCGTAAAGATGAAATTTCCTTCTTGGGTGTTGGTTCTCCTCGCTTACACCAAACAACTTGTTGCGTATTTCTCAAACCAAAGTAACATTCATCTTCAAAAATATACTTCTTGATGTCAGCATCACAATGCATTGCAGCAAATTGATATTGCTTTTGTTCATCTAATTTGTTGCTCTTGACTTTGATAACAGATTTACGAGGACGATAACCAAGAGATAAAGGATAACGTCGTATCGTGCGTTCGGAAGTATTGAAGTTTGTGAGTGAAAGTAATTCAGCGCCAGTAGCTGATCGGTTTTGTTGTATAGTTCGATTAAGTTGTTCAATTTGTGTTGAATCGAGTGCACGTGGACGACCAGCATTATATCTATCTGTATAATTCACATCATTATGACGACGATAATAATCAATGACATGGTATACTGTATTACGGGAACAATTGAAAGAACGTGCGACTTCTGAGACATTTATAGAACCTTTTTTCCATTCAATGTAATATACCAGCGTTGTTCTTCAGTTAGTGTATACATTTTCAATAAGATTATCGAGCAACAAAATAGACAATAAACACAAAATAATATATCCGAGAAAACTTCTTCTAGCGATAAACTCTATGTTTTAGATGAAAATAAAAAGTGTACTGTTAATTTTGTCCACCGTAGTTTGTTTGTCTTAATGACGAAGAGTTCTCTTAGCTTGTCGAATATAAACTGATGTTATGATTGTATCTGTGGAATTAGTTTTTCGTGATCACTACTAATAAAATAGACTATGTTTAAGATTGGTATAAATAACTTTTTCTCATCATCATGAATTCCTTTTCATTTTTTTTTTGAAATATAAAATAACAACATCAATTGAACTTATGCAAAGCCGAATAACTCACTTATCTTGATTGAATTTCAATTTTTTTCAGTTATGAAAATATTGATAGCAGTGCCCTCTTAAAGTTCAAATTACGAGGGGATGGAGTAATTTTCAGTTGCATCTTGATTGTGAAAGGACATGTCATCATTTCTATTTTTCTTCTCCTTGGTTATTTATGAAAAATAAACCTATCATTACAACCATTCATTCGAGTCAAATTACATGTTTTGCTAAATGGGTGAAAGTTTAACACTCACTTTTTTCATTTGCTACTTCTTGTCCAATATTATCTGTCTGTTGATGACTCCTCTTTGTCTGATTACTCTGATTATTGGTGTGGTGAAAATTGGATCGTGTCCGATTCAACCATTCATTCCTATTTGGATAGTTATAACTGGTTTGATTTTACTCATACCAACGTTTGCTGCTTTTATCTTCGTAAGTTCCAAATAGTCTTCATATTAATGAATATAACCGAATATTTGTATAAAGATTGCTCTCTGCTTTCCATGCTGTAGATGCCAATGTGACGAAAAAATTTTCCAAAAATCAGGAACTCTAGTCTTGCTTGTCACGGCTATACTCCTAGCAATATGGGCCATTCCGGTAAGCAATCTTTACTTGTTATATAGCAAGAAATATCTTTTTATAATTTGAGAAACAATTTTTGTGTATTATTCTATGATAAGCTCGATTACAAATATGACAGATGAGAGAATTTTCTCATTTGAATCCAATTGATATCATTTTGAATAAGAAGCAAACAGAGAATTCTGATGTTTTTGACATGAGGAGCTTCACTAAACTACTTTCACTTGATAGTCCAAAATTGATATAAAAAGAATTACATTTTGACCAATTTTGTTTCTTTTCAAAACTATGAAATTTTATCTAAATAAATAGAAACGATATCGGTTGAAAACGAATTTTGTATTCTAACTAATGCTTAACATCGCAAATAATAGTCTTGGTAATCAATCATTTGCATTAATATGATTGAAATTCTCTATTTTAGGGCACGATCTGGACTTTTGGCATACGAAATTGCTATACATCCGGTGAAGCACCTATGTCAGTCTCTTATTGTCAACAATCGATTTTTAATTTCGTTCTCGTTTATTCGCTCATCATCGACATACTGGCCACCTTTGGCATGATTTTATTTTTGATATGGCTTATTCGAAAAATCAAAACTGATTTTTTCCGCAAATATTCGTTGATAAATATTCCCTCGATTGCAGAAAGAATTATATGAAATAAAATGAGTTTGTGTGCATGTTTGAGGGTGTGGGTGTGGGTATGAAGATAGGTGTGGGTGTAAGTGTGAGTGTGGTCCATTCATCATCCACACCCACATCCACACTCACACCGACACTCACACTCACACTCACCCACACCCACACTCACACGCACACATCCACACAGCCACACCTCCCTCTTTTCTGATTTCTCTATCTCTTCTTATTTGATAGACTTGTTAAACTTATTCTATGGTTATTCTATTGTTTCATTACATTTGATACAGTTTTCTCTTATTATTATTCCTTGATTGCCACATGTTTTCTTTTATCCTTTTCTGTCGTTGATATTGTTCATCGTTATTTTCACTTGCATTCATTAAAAATATCGATAGGTAGCATTTTTCGTTCAATAGGGGAGTATGTCACAGTGATGTCGCATATGGTCGTGTCCATCATCTATGTGAAATCCTCTGTTCTTTTTTTATTTATCTTTCATCTGCTATTGGCCTTTCTTTATTTTCTATCTATCTATATATGTACAAGTTATGCTAATTTTCATTCATTCCTTCCTTAATAAATATTGTATGTAGTAAGGGTGTGGGTGTGGGTGTAGTCTAGCTAATGCAAATACCCACACCCGCACCCAGACTCACGCTCACCACACACCAAACACCCACTCCGACACCACACTCGCACCCAGACCCACAGCCACTTCGACACCCACACCCGCACTCAGACCCACACCCATCCCACACCCACTCCGACACCCACAGCCGCACCCACTCTCACACCCATACCCATACCCCACTTGTTGTTTCAAATAATCAGCAAATATGTAAACGCACTAACAATATTTATGAAGGTAACAAGTTGGCTTTTATCTAATACTGTGTCAACATAGATACTCTCAACAGCGTCATGTAACTGAATTTATTTGGAATTTTCTTTCTCATTAGTCATTTCTCAACTCTGCATATGTAACAGGCAGAAAATCAACCTGTTATCTGTACTGACACAAGTGATAACGCTTCGTAGGAACGATGAGGAAAGGTAGATTTTTCTCATTAATTAATATTGGCTGACTGACTCAACGTATGGATGTGGCATAGAAAATTTCAGCTTCACTTAGACCTCTACAATGAGTCGAAGACACCAGCTTTAAGATTATTTCAAAGCAATTAACGACAAGGTTGTCTACTTCCATCATCACATTTCTAGAAAGTAAGAGAATCCTAGTGATTCTGACAAAAGCATGATAGATTAGACATGTGTTCAAGAATATTCCGATGAGATCAATCCTTGTCAAGAGTGATAACCACGGTGAAAAAATATGTTCACTATACGTCAATTTTCTTTCTCAAACTCCGAACTCAGATACCTTTTTGACTAAGAGGGATCGATCTCATAGTAGAGTCAATCTTGCCATTGATAGTTGCCAGACTAAGAAAAGAGGAACAAAATACATGAGAAGATAAACGTGTTAGATCAATATTTTGAAAAAACACGACACTACTACAGATCGATTCAACATTTCCATTTTTATTTTGAGATTCATCGTTCAACGATGATCAACGTTCATTTTGAAACGCAAATAGGCGAAACTCGAGCCGGATCGCTGAGGGATGTCTTCGGTCTAAGTGACTTTCTCAAGTTGGCAGGAGACTTGTTCGGTGATATTAATGGCATTAAATTTCTCGTCAAAGGTAAGCAGCTGCATTTGACTAGTGATGCCGAATTTGCAACGTACAAGCGCTTCATTGCCGACGAATGTACAATTCAAACAGTCATGATGATGCTTATTGGCGGTAAGTATCCCCTAATTCATGAAATTGTCGATAAGATTCTCTATGAAGTAAACACTGTGGTTGATAGAATGCCAAAGAATACGGACGTCAATGTACCATTTGTCTTCACACAGTCGATCGACGTATTCGAATATTGCGTATATGACTCAATTGCATGTTCATTGTAGTGTTTTGTCTCCGAGTGTCTTGAGCATATGTCGATGAGAAATTAAATTTATCCTGTTTTACTTTTATGCTTTTCAAGCCGCTATAATTTCATATATTTTAATCCTTTACTCCCTTTAGTTATTCTAGTGGCATTAGTTTCTTTAGTCGCTATAGTCCTTTTACTATCTTTAAGGGCTAAAGAAATTAAAGGTACTCAAGAGACTGAAAGGATTCCAGGGACTAAAAGGAACTAAAAGGAACTCTGGGGTCTAAAAGGAATAAAGGGACGAAGAGTAACTAGAAGGACTACATAGATTAAATGGAATTCAAGAGAGTAAAAGGACTATAAGAACTAATATGACTAAAGGAGCTAAACGTACTAGAAGGAACTAAAATGAATAAAGAGTAAAAAAATATGACAGTCATTATAGCCTGAATTGCATAAAAGTAAAACGGGATAAATTTATTTTCTCGTGAACCCCTCCAATATTTCTAAAAGTATCAGACTCCAGTGAGATCCGTTCCAGAGTTATTAATTCTGAAATTGTTTTAAAGTCGAAAATGATGTCACCCGAAGAAGTATATTATAGTTTTATACCTTGGAGACGGTCTTTTGCAGTTGCTTTGTGACATTGGAATAGAAAACAAAATGGGCTCTTCGAATATGAAGGTTGTTTTTTATTCGCACTATGTCGTTACAGAGTATATCAACTCCTATGAAAGGAGCTGTTGAAAAGTATCAGCTTCTATCGGAAGAACTCTTTGAACAGCTCCTCCGATAGGAACTAAATATGAACTGTCCACTCTCTATTAGTAACAAATAATGATCGAGGTAAAAAATGCTTTCTTTTAAAGTTCCATCAATTCTTCTATTATCAGAACAGACCAAAATACGATTGCTAATTATTATTCTCAAAGAAGTAATCGACAAAACTATAATTTTTTTCTTTATAAAATTGTACTCTGACAAATTTTTTTGGAAATTGAAACAAAACTTCACATGTTTCTTGATTATCAACTAACGGGTGTCCCATAATAAATGACTGATTTTTGTATTTCTTTTTCGTATTATCTAGTACATTTATTTTTAAACCAAAATGTACTAAAAGACGCAGCATGAAAATTTCTACATTTTACATAAGATCGCTTATTTTATAGTTGCACCTTTTGTTTTCAAAATGGACAAAACTTTAAGCGATCAAGTTTTGACAGTGCGCAAAAGATGACTTTTGATACACTAAGAATTCTTTTTTTCTGATTTCATCTTTTAATAATCTAATGTGTTTTATTAAAAAGAAAACCAAATATACCAAAAGATGCAGCACGAAAAGCTCTACAATTTACAAAACAAGAGTTTATTTTATATATGAACATTTTTTTAAAAGGGACAAAATTCTATGCGCCCAATTTTGGACGCTACGAGTAAGATCATTTAATGGTACATGAGAGATTTCTTTTCTAATTTCATGGGTTAATGTATCATAGTCTTTAACTTTATTACATTGCATATTATTAGTAATTGCACCCCACACGCGATAATCAGAAACATTGAGACTAGGACTGGAGTGTGAGTGTGGGTGAAGAAACACTCACACCCACACCTCTGGAATGTCAGGTTGTTGAAGGAATGGGCAGCTCCAAATATGTGAAATCTTATCAAGATGGTAAGCAACATAGATTTTCATACAAAAAAAGCGGGGAAATTATTGTGGGTGTGGGTGTGGGTGTGGGTGTGGGTGTGGGTGTGGGTGTGGGTGTGGGTGTGGGTGTGGGTGTGGGTGTG